CCAACGCGTCGCGGGGGGAGGGGACAAGCGACACACAGGGGAGCGCTCCGGGGGGGGCCGGGCTTGTCGCCTCACCTTGCACGGTGACAATGACCTCGTGCACGGCCACCGTGTTCTTCTTGACGCGGCACTGGTAGGTGCCGGTGTCGCTCTCCTGCAGGTCCGCCACCCGGATGGACGCGTCGCGCTGGCCCGGGTCCGTCTGCACGAACGCCACCCGGTCCTGCAGCCCCGAGCTGCCGTAATTCACGTGGTGGTCCTGGTAGGACAGCACCTGGGGACAGAGGGGACAGAGGGGACAGCGGGGACAGCGTCAGCGGGTGGCGGGGACACCGCGGGGGAGGGGGTTGGGGGTGGTGAGGGTTGGGGTTGAGGTTTTTTAGGGTTAGTTTGGGTTAAAGTTTTTTTTAGGGTTAGTTTAGGGTTAGTTGTTAAGTTTTTTTAGGGTTAGTTAAGGGTTAGTTGTTAAGTTTTTTTAGGGTTAGTTTAGGATTAGTTGGGGTTAAGTTTTTTTAGGGTTAGTTGGGGTTGGTTTTTTTAGGATTTGTTTAGGGTTAGTTGGGGTTGAGTTTTTTTCAGGATTATTTGGGTTTAAGGTTTTTTTTTAGGGTTAGTTTAGGGTTAGTTGTGGTTAAGTTTTCTTAGGGTTAGTTGGGGTTGGTTTTTTATTCAGGATTAGTTGGGGTTAAGGTTTTTTTTAGAGTTAGTTTAGGGTTAGTTGGGTTTAAGTTTTTTTTTTAGGGTTTAGTTTAGGATTAGTTGGGTTTAAGTTTTTTTTAGGGTTAGTTGGGGTTGGTTTTTTTAGGATTTGTTTAGGGTTAGTTGGCATTAAGTTTTTTTAGGGTTAGTTATGGTTAAGTTTTTTTTAGAGTTAGTTTAGGGTTAGTTGGGGCTGAGGTTTTTTAGGGTTAGTTGGGGTTAAGTTTTTTTAGGGTTAGTTGGGTTTAAGTTTTTTTAGGGTTAGTTTAGGGTTAGTTGGGGTTAAGTTTTTTTAGGGTTGGGTTAGAGGTGGGTTAGGGTTTGGTTAAGGTGTAGTTAGGGTTAGGTGTGGTTTAGGGTTGGTTTGGGCTGGAGCTAGTTAGGTTTGGGTTAGGGTTAGGGTTAGGTTTGGGTTAGGTTTAGTTTAGGGTTTGGGTTATTTTAGGGTTAGGGTTAGTTAGGCTTGGGTTAGGTTTGGTTATGGTTAGATTTGGGTTGCTTTAGGTTGGGGTTGGTTTGGGTTAGGGTTAATTAGGCTAGGGTTGGTTTGGGTTAAGTTTAGGGTTAGGTTTAGGGTTAGTTTAGGGTTTGGGTTAGTTTGGGGTTATAGATTTATTTAGGTTTTAGGTTTATTTAGGGTTAGGTTAGTGTGAGTTACATTCATGGTTATTCAGGAGTTGTTTAGGGTTTGGGTTTGGTTTAGGTTTGTTTAGAGTTAGGTTAGTGTGAGTTAGGTTCAGGGTTATTCAGGAGTTGTTTAGGGTTGGGTTTGTGGTTTAGTTTGGGTTCGGGTTAAATCCCTTTCAGTTTTGGGTTTGGGCACAGTTGGGTCGGGGTTTCCCAGCTTAGGGGTGGCTCAGCAGTCGGTGTTTGCTGTCCCTGCCTGTCCCTGATTTACCTCCCAGTCCCTGCCTGCTGCTCCATCTGAAGGCTCCATCCCATCCCAGTCCATCCCAGTCCATCCCAGTCCATCCCAGTCCATCCCAGTTCATCCCAGACCAGCCCCGCCTGTCCCTGTTCCTTCCCAGTCCTTCCAGACCTTTCCAGTCCTGCCTGGTCCATCCCAAACTGGCGCTCCCAGACAGTGCCGGACCTTCCCTGTCCCTGCCTGTTTGGGCTCCATC